ATATAAATTCAGTCATTTTGTTTTTCATAATATATATATATATATATATATATATATATATATATATTATTAGTATAATAAAACACAATTATGCTTGCACGCATAACACATAAAAACCATTGGAAACCCTAAAGGTACCTTTTTGTATACAAAAGGCAACATAGACCTTTCTATCCCTAAATAAGATGGATACTATTAAATTACAAATAGAATGTAGTGTCAGTCATTTGAAACAACATATGAGCAAACAAGAACAGCCTACGAACCACTTAAATCCACAATGGACTAACATCTTCAATTTAATTTACTTTAGTGATGAATGATTACCAAATTTCTTCCCAGTTCAATGAAAATGGATGGTGATTTGGATGCCGCTTCACAATGTGTTTAACTTTTCAAAGAAACAAAGAAACCATAGAAAGAAGAAGATTAATCTAAAGTGTTTAACTTGTCAATTACTCCAAATCAAATGAACAAAAAATACAATCAGTTAAAAAGAAAAAAAAGAGCAATTTGGATGCCGCTTCAACAACATCAATTTGGTTGGTAACTGAAATAAATTGCTTAATAGTTTTTATAGGTAGTTATGAGTACCAAGTGCTTTGTAGAGTCAAAAAAACACACAGACGCACACACCCACAAATATATATATATATATATATATATATATATATATGAAGACTTGTGTGTACACACACCCCCCATTTGCTATGTTCTTCGTCCCCCCCATGCACCCAGCCCAATATTTTCTTGGAGTTTCCAGCAAACTCGAAATTGCCATTTATCCCTACGATCCTTCTAGTGTCATAAGAAATAATACTCTAGTTTAGAAACTAGCCCTTAGGTGCTCGATATGTTTTCTCTAATCATTTGAATGAAGCGAGCTTTGCCGAAGAAGTAGATGCCGAAGAAGGAAGAAGAGATGCTAAAGAAGAAGAGGGAAGGGCTCTACCTATCGAGAGAACGATTGTCAAAGAGGGAGGAATGAATAGCGCACGGGAGTTGTGACCGAGAACGAGGGTCGGAGATGAGAACGAATAACAAGGCACGGGGTTAATAACGCGAAAGAAAACGCGGCCCGCGCCGCGTGTTTCACAAATATAAAACTTTGTTTTTGAATAAGCTGGCGAAACGCGCAAACCAAATGATAAGGCGACATTTTCAAAAAGTCGTCCGCAGTTATAAGCTGCCCCAAACAAGCCCTAAATTGATAAAGTATAAAGTCAAGTATTGACTTATTTTTAAGCAAGGAAGAACAATCTGTGAAAGGTTATCGTTTTTAAACTTCCCTAGCGAATATGCATCTAACTTGAGATATTGTTAAGTGTGTTAAAAATTTACCCGACACTCCAACTCGACCCAAACCTGAATTAAAATATTCGGATTCCAGTTAACCAAAATAATTTTTGGATCGAATTCGAGTTGAATATCCTAATTAGTTTAATTTTTTGGATCAAGTTCGGGTTGACCCGCTAACCTGAAAAATGATACAGAAACCCTAAATTGACTCGCCAACATGGAAGTGACTCAAAATTGACCCAAAATTGACCTTATTTTAACCCAAATAATTGTCATTCCATATGTTAAACTGATTATACGAGGAAGATTCGGGTTAGCAGGTTAAAGGCGGGTTAGTTTCAAGTTGGGATTTTCAACTCGCATAATATTTGGGTTGAGTTTGGGTTGTGTCAGTTTCAGGTCGGAGCTGAACTCAAACCACCAACCGGAATTGATAACCCTAACTGCTATGTCGACTTAGGTGCAGGAAAAAATATTTTACATAAAAAATAATGATTGTGATATTTTCTTGTAGTGCTTGCTATCTAATGCATTTAGTGTTTTATCAAGTCAGATAATTAACCTGTTAATTGAAATTAATAAATTCTTTGAATAATTATGTTCAGCTCATTTGAAAATTGATGCTTTAAAACAACCCGAATAAGTAGTCCAATGATATTATGGAAACTTAAGCATATATTTCTTCCTTGTTTTGACTCCTCAGAGTATCTGCTCATATATCTAACTTATGAGGTTAAAGTTAGGGGTTCAGTACAATAACTCTGAATGTATCTATTTGAAAGATATATCTTCCAGATGCCTGATCATATAATGTATAAAACAACATCGTATCATACTAAATAATTGTTGTCATTACAGATTTTTTAATAAAATCAAAAGAATCGTAAAAAATAAAGCACGACCTAAAAGCTCAATATACGAGGCATACTTGTTATTAAAGAACTACTTTTTCTTCATATTATTTTGAGCGACAACAATCAATTGAGCAAACTGTAGTTGCGGAGTCTTCGCATCATGTGATTTTCGTATTTTATAAATCAGGTGAAGCATCAAGAAGAAGCAATTCACAATACCTCAATGACAATGAGTTACGGGAAACGATTTTATATATTCTTTTGAACTGCAATGAAGATTCGTATTAACTTATAGTAGTTGGAATTACCACTACAAATGTTAGATTGACCTTATTATTTCAACTTTGATTATGCGATCAAATTATTTATGAGCTCCTAAAATATTGAGGATGGTAATATTATCAGTAAGAAGATTGAAGAATAATTCTCATTGTTTGAAACCACTCGATAAATTCACCTCAATCCATACAATCGTAAAAATCTAATAAATTCACCTTTACTCCAACATCTTGGCTTCTCCTTTGACATTTCATATCAAATCGGCGGGGCATTGGTTCTTCATAACTAAAAATTGCCTAGCAAAATATATTTACTTCCGCCTCTCAATCTAGCAAGTCACCCGTTGCTATGTGTGATCTCACTGCATTGTCTTCTGTCAAAAGCAACAAGCCTCTGCTGCAGTTAAAAGATTTTTAACCACATATCCTCCATAATAAATTACTGGACTTCTTGTTGAGGGTTACACCTTGGCAGCATGGCGTTCTTTCCTTCGGCGGATGTATGATTCTACATCAAGGGGGTTTAGGTTTTAAGGGTACATGTCAGGATAGAATTTTTGCAAAGGTAAGAAAGTTGAATTTTGAAAATTTTAGGGTTGGTGTTAGGAATTGCGGTAGGAATGATTTAGGTTTATTTGTGGGGGTGTTACGCTTGTTTATTAGGAATTTTGGTTTGGGCCAATGAAGACAAAACTCTAAAATCTATGGCTTATAGAACTCTGATATCAAATGTCACAATTCCACGGCTCCTAGAAGGAGCACCAAAAGGTGTTAGGAATGCGTTGAAGTGATTACAAGCGTAAGAAGATGAAAGGCAGTTGAAAAGGCGGTGTGAACTACAGTTGAACAGCGAACCAAATAACTGAAAACAACAGTTTTCAGCAGCAAACAGCAGACGACGGCTATCTCGATGGCTGCATGGCTGAAATCAACAACCAAATGATGAAACAACGAGGGGGATCCCCCACCTGTTCCTTGAAGTTGTGCACTCTGCATTATTAAGAAAAGAAAAGTACAAAAAATACAAAATTAAGTCTTTCAGGCATTCACGAAAGAGCCCTTGTCAGCTAACAAAAGAGAAAAGAGAGCACCGTGCTAATTCACATGCTTTAAAGAAAAGTTCCTATGTATAGCTAAAGAGGCACAAGAATGAGCGACTATATTGTTATCTCTACAAGTATGTTGAAATATGACTGTTTAAATTTGTGCATTCTCCGAGAGCAAATAAGACCAAGTGTTCATTGTGTTGCGGAAGAAGTCAATGACATTGGTGTTATCGCTTCGAAATGAACCCTGTGCATTCAACCATCCAATCTTCAATGAGTTCATGCAGCGAAATCATAGCCTTCAATTCGACTTATACGTTATCCCAGTGAACTAATTTGTTGTTGTAAGCCACAATCAAGTCCCCTAATTCATTCTGAATAACAATAATGATGCCCGTAGTATGAGTTGAATGAATCGCCTCATCGACATTCACTTTGATCCACCATCTGTTCCTAGACAAACTATACACACCACTTGCAAAAAAAAGAAAAGCACTCCGAAGAGCAGAAAATCAGAGAAAAAACTCTCAAATTTATTAAAACAGCAAAACTGAAGTCCCAAACAGCCAAAACACTAAATATATAAAAGCTCTCTAATAAGGAATAAGCAACATCAGAAAATAAAGAAAAAGGAAAAAGAAACAAGAAAAGAATAAATGAAAACAGCCCAAAAAAAGCACCGGGTTTGGCGCAATCAATCCCGCAGTACTGGAAACTCATATCCGTGGGTTCCGCATTAAGGGAGTCGCAGTTTAGCGACAATTGCGTGTTCCACATCAATAAAGGATAAAGATTCTCTGTACGTTATCCACACAAATAAAATTTATTTTTTTCAAAGAAAATCCTAAGCACTGTGGCACCAAATCAATCCTATAGTCAATAAGTATCTAGTTTGTTTATTAATTTTTATTTTATTTTATTTTATTAATATGGGTCAGTTGTGACATTAAAAATATAGAGCAAATTGTTGAAAATCAACATGTCAAGCTAAAAGATTATCTTGAATAAGAATAAATAGAAAGAAAACATGGTCATGACAAAACAATAGTAATGTTGATATCAGAATGTAAAGTTGTAAGATTTTAAACTAGAAAACCACAAAAGTCAAAATAATATCAAAATACCTTTTTCATGTACCTGGCAAGTGAACAGTATTTTTGCATAATTGGCCCATCTATTGGCTCTGATACCTTAAGAGAATCTCCATCCTTCGCACTTACAAATGAGAAGCACTCGGGAAAACACAAAAATTTAACTCCGGCAGCACATGCCTCCTACAAATTTATTTAGATATTCTAGCTCAGTAACACATATCTTATCGGACTACATGAGAAATTAAAAAAAAACGTTTGCAGGCCATAAACTAGCCTCCACAAAAACCATGTTTCAGACACATTTGGTCAGAGTTCAATCAAATATTTAAACAAATTACAAGTGATAAAACAATGTTTGGCAAATTAAGATGCAAATTTAAACTAAAAGTAAAGAACACAGTTCCATGCGGAATCAAACTTTTCATTCCACTTATATCAACCAATTTAGGATCTGCAAATTTTGTAAACCGCTAAATACAAACTAAACTCATGCAACCAATTAAGTTGCATAAGGTAAATAACTTCTACTTTAATAGAATATCCTACAGATTTGAAGGAAACTCTATAAAAGGGCTATAATAATGCGTATATTCTAATGACTTGAGAAACTAAGAAATAAAAGCAACAAAGATAGTGAGGTTGTGGAAATGACAATGTCGAAGTGAATGCAATGACAAAACTACAAACAAGATGATCCTGGAGTAAACCAAACTGCAACGAGAAATGCAACATTTTATTACAAAAAACCAATAGAGATTACAGCAAACACACATCGAAATAGGAAATAATAAAAAACACGACACAAACATCAAAGTAGGGCATCGGTCAAAGGTACTGGTACTTCAACTGGAGGAATAGTAAGTATGGATGGTTGGATGGTCGAAAAACAACAAGGAGAGGGGCAACAGCAGCAGCGAAGTGGGTGGCAACAAGGTTGTGGTGTAGGACTGCAGCAAAAAGGCTGTGGCAGGGGGGGGGAAGGATGGTGGCATATGGAACGTAGTTAGAAAGGGGCGGCAGCAAAAGGATGGTGGCATATGGAACGTAGTTAGAAAGGGGCGGCAGCAAAAAATTTATGGCTGGAAGGGATGGGCGGCAGCTGGACAGCAGCGAGACTACAAGCAGAACAATTATGGCAAGGGCAGCAGCAAGTCAGATGGTTGGGATGAAGGTTGGGGAAACATGGAAGGGTGGATAAACATCACCTCAAGAAGAGTTACAGCCAAAGCGTCTTCTTACTTTCAGATACAACTCTAAAAGGGAGAACCTGGAAGCCGACGGCTGTCCTGACAGAAAACTGAATCAATGACTCATTTTCAAACCCTAATACAGATGTGTGTGTGTGTGTTGATGATGGTAGAAAAAGTCCAAACCAAAAACAAAACATAATTATTATTATTGAAATTGAAATAATTGGTTATCACGACGATTCATCAACAGAAAATACAAGATAACAAACACAAAACATAGGACGACACATACACACCTCGAAAGTGTATCTCAAGGGCGGTGGAGGTTGGCCCGGTGGATCTGGAGGCTTGCAACAATCAGGGTGGATGCGGGAGAGGGGGGGTTGGAAGGTAAATTGGAGGAGTGAGGCAGCAGGTTAAGGTGGCAGGAAGGTTTGTTCGCGGTTATGAGGTAGTTTGGAAGGTGGGGGTTGGGAAGGCTCGCCAGCACTTTCGGAGGGTGGACAGCGAGCGTGAAAGCGCAAGCAGCGATGGGAAGGGTCGTGACAGCAAGGTAGCTGATGTACAGTTGCCAGTTGGCTACCGTGAGGGGTGGACAACAGATTTTTGCAGCATAAAGGTCGGCAGTGCAGAGGGAAGTTGTTGGAAGTGAACGGCGGCTAAGGGAAGTGGAGTATGGAAGATACAAAAGATAAATACAATCGCAACCTCGAAGTAGGATATAGCCGGAGCACCACCACCTCATCGGATACAACCCACAAAAAGCAAAAAGACTCCACACATGAATCTGAAATCAACACAGTAAAAACAAAACGCTACATCCATAAAACAACAATTTAAAGACTCTTACAGAAGAAAAACAAAAAAGAAAAGCTCTCATAAGGAGATCACAAAAAAGGAAGGGAAAGGGATTGGCGGCAATGTCGCCCTTCCTAAACGGCCGCTCTATCGAGCGGGATGCAAAAAAGACACGAGACGGGGCGCGGGAGGCCGCTCGTCAAGATTCTCACCTGGACCGCTCAGCCTAGGATTCTCTGAACCGACCTCAACTGGGTCGATCAGTTCACTAGCATGAGTTCCCGCTCCGGCGATCTCGAGGGGTCACTGCAAGCCCCGTGTCATATATATAAAATATTTTGGGACATTTAAATTGAAACATAATGGAGCCACCAACTTCAAGGAGGTGACATTCTTTCCTCTCGGCTATCTCATTTTGTTAATAAGCGTCCGCGCACGAGCTTTGGTGGAGAATGTCCTTACTAAGAATTCACCCAAAATAGAGTTTAACTCACGACCATTATCAGTCCAAGGACCTGAAAAATTTTTTTGAATCGAGTTAAAATGAAGGTGTAAAAGTTTTGGGATGTGACAGCAACACTTATTTGTCTTTTAAAATGGAGACCCACGTCATCCGAGTGTAGTCATCAATGAAAGTCAAAAAATACTATTCACTTGTGTAGCAGGAAGTGCGAGAGGGTCCCCATAAGTCACCGTGAATGAAAGAGAATAGAGTGGAAGGTGTGTAACTGTGGGGTGGGCAATAGACTCGATAATGTTTGGCTAACTGGCATGTCTCACAATTGAAATTAGAGGAATTTTTATCAGAAAACGTCAAAGGATACAACCTTTTAAAATATTGAAAACTAGAGTGACTTAAATGACAATGCAACAACATAATTGGATATTTAAATGACTCAAGATAAGCTACAACTCCTGAGGTGTGTCCTCACTCTCCGTGTTTTTCTCTTGAAAGTATTAGAGTTTGGGTATCCTCTTAGCAGTTTCAATCATCCTCCCTGAATGATGATCCTGAAAAACACAACTATTTGAAGAGAAATTAACAACGCAATGAACATCATTTGTGAACTTACTAACAAATAATAAGTTATATTGCAACTGTGGAACATGTAAAACAGACTCCAGAGTTGGATCAGTTGCTAGTACAATCGACTTTTTACCAGCAATAGAACTGTAGGAAACATCGGCAATTCTGACTGTATCTTTTCCAAAGCATGGATAATAAGTTGAGAAAATTTGCGAGCATCCAGTGATGTGATTCGTGGAACCTAAATCAATAATTCACTAAAAGAGGAATAAATTGTGGGTCATAAGAAAAGAGTACATTGTCAGACGTGGGAGGTCGACGGACTTGCAGAAACTTGATCGGCTCCAAAAAGCTTGATCAATTGCTCCATCTGGCTTTTCAGGGATTCGGAGAATTCCAAAATGTTCCAAGGAGTCGGTTGAGCCATGGTAAGCTCCATCGTCGTCGTGGGATCCTTGGAAGCAGAGGTTTTGGTCGAAGCTTTATATGTCGGTTTACCATAAAATTTCCAATGCTCATCCCAAGTGTGATTGGGTTTATGACAGTAATCACAAGTGGGGTGACCGGTCTATGGTGGCATAAACAAGGGTCAATCTCTATTTGATATCAAAGTGAACGATTTGGTTGAAGGAGTGGAAGTGTCGAGCATGACAAATCTTCTGCTTTCTTCTTGATGAATCTCGGTGAAGGCAACGCAAGCAGAAGGATGAGGATATCGACCAAGAATACAGCCCCGGACTACGTCGAGAGCTTTGTTACGGACAACAAGGAATTGGAATATACAATCTTTTTTTACTATCTTCGGGAAGAGAGATAGTTCTGTCAGAAACTCCCAAGTGTAGTCGTAATACAGGTCGTATTTCATCCATAGTGCAAGAAGGTCATTATAGTACTGGGTCACGGTCCTTGACCCCTGTTTTGCTTCTTGAATCTTCTTAGGTGCCTCATAGAGTTGGCCACAATTTTCTATATAGTAACACAGGCAGCCATCTAGAGAGGACTAGCTGAAAGGAGGAACATGTATGAATGACCAATTGAAGTCTTCATGGAGTTGATCGATCACGACATGACCACGGACTCCTCAACTTCCCAAGCTTTGGAGACTCACGAATCATCTTCCCACGTCCATTAATGAACAATGACACCGCTTGGGGCCATTAGAGAAAGTTATTGTCATTTAGGGTTTATTTGGGGCAACTATTGATTATTTATAATCTAATGATAAGCAGATTATTCTGATAATCTGATAATCTGCAGATTATTAGAATAAGCTAGATTGTTGTTTGGAGCAGTTTATTTTGAATAGCTTATTGATAGTTGTTGCTAGATAAATGACATTCATGCCCCTGTTTGGTGAAATTGTTTGCAACATAACTAAAATGAGAACAGAAGTATATAGTACAGAATCCTGAAATCATCACAGATCAGTTCAAAAGATGACATACAATGCTCATACTCTCGTGATTATCAGAAAAATAGAAAAATGATAAATACAATTACAACTACAATGAGCAATATTAAAATATTCAATTTCAAACTAAGACTACGTTTGTCCTTAGTTGCACTGTCAGTCTGAGAAATCATTGTGTCCCGAACACTGTTGTCGGTGTAACATGTTGACAAGATAAGCTAATTCAATAATGCTAATGAACCAACAAGCAAATTATAAAACCCTTGTACAAAGAGGAAACCCACGATTTGATGCCTGCATTGCTATGTTATGCCATGCGTTATAGAGATTCTCTCTTGTACTAAGACAAGTGCAACTATACCTTGTTTGAAATATTAAACTGTGGGTTGTAAGATAACATGTTCCGCCACGTAAATATCTTAATATAACAATAATTTTGAACAACTTAGCATATCAACCAGCATTCCAGAAAATCATCAAAGACATTCTAGAAATGAAAAGATGCAAGCTGAACAGAAAATGAACACTACTAGACTTGCGTATGACTTGCAAATAATTTGAGGGCTCGCCATAAACTCAATAAGAACCTCCCCTAAATACTTAGAATTTTCAAGATCCCACTCAACAAGCTAAATGAGCCAAAGTGGACTTGAAAATCAACTAACAGGCTCTTCAATTTATTGCCCAGAAATTTTTTTCCCTCTGGCACTTCAATTTATCTTAACAGAAAATGAACATACTTGAAAATGCTTGA